TTAAATCTAGTCCACCACAATCCTTGCCACTAAACCCCTATACTCTCACCTTTTTAAAAAACTCAACATTCTGGGTGAAACCGCGACAACCGCGACATAGCCCTCTTCGCAAAGGAAGAAATCAATCTCATTCTCACAGACGCAAAGAGAAAAAAAAATATGACTGAAATTCCGAAATTGCAAATACATACTTTGCATGGGTAGTTTCCGATTTATGGACACATTTCAAAAATCTGTCCGTCCCCAGGTCCAGACAGCATTTTGCCATAGAAACTGTGTTAAACAAATCCTGCTCCGCCTGTCTGTCTCAGAAGGATGGTGAGACGGAGGAGAAGGGAGATATTGAATGCTCCCCGCCCCCCCCCCCCCCCCCCCCGCCCGCGCCTCTCCGGTATGTGCTTACTTCTCCGCCCTTCTCTGACCCCGCCACTGCAACACCCTGGCTGGCCCTGGATCCACCTGCGTGGGGCGGGGGGGGGGGGGGGGGGGGGGGGGGGAGCCGCTCTGGTTCCGAGCGGGCAGCTGAGCCCGGACGTCAGGGCCCCACGCCGCCGCGTCAGTTCCTTCCGTCCCGTTTACATCCGGGCCCTCGGGCCGCCTGCAGCTCCTAGGTCCCCTCGCGGTGGAGGGCCCCCAAGGGAGTACAGAGGCCGGGGGAATAAAGGGGAAAGCCGGGCACCGTGGCGCTCAGCGGCTCCGCGGAGGGCGCCAACACGCATTCCTAGACAGCGGCACGTCCCTGGGAAAGAAAAGCCCGCTGCCCGCGGCGCCAGACGGAGGAGTGAGCGCCTGACTCAGGACTTGGCAACCCACGGTCCCATGCTCGCGGGAAGCCTGAGTCACTGAGGCAGCAAAGGAAGAGTGAGGGAGCCCGGCGCCCCCGAGAACCTGCTCCCGCCGGCGCCGGGCCCAACGGCAGGCAGGCCGGCTGCGCGGTTCGGGCGCCGCTGCAAACCCTCCCGAGCCGTCTTTCCTGAGCTTTCTGAGCTTTCTGCCCACGGCGACCGCGCGGAAGGAAGAGCCCGGGGCTGCCCGGTACCTTCTCAGAGCCTACGCGGGGCTGGGAACTCCTCGTTCTCACAAACACGTAGCCTTCCGCTCTCCACTTCATCGGAAGAACTCGGAGCAACAGCAGAGAAAAACGAAGCCGGCTGCAGCCCAGGCCTGTGGCCCTCAGGGCACCGCGCCAGCGACCCGCACCCTTCCCCCGAGCCGGCTTCACGGGCCGGGCTCTATCCAGCCAGTCGCCAGCGGCGCCCAGTCCAGCGACGGGTCCGTTTCTTTTCTCCTTTATTCTCAGAAAGGCGAGGGAACGCCAACACGCTCTGGGAAACGACTGTCAACAGGGAAGCTTCCCTAGGAAATTATAGAGAGAGAAATCATCAAAATGTGTTTGCAACCCAAACTCTCCTTCTCCCGGTACCTCTTCCTAAGAAACGCAACCACCTCCTCGAAAATGGTATTTACGGTTATGTTCGTGCCAGCGGAAACGGGTTAACCAAACGCCCACCGATCTACGAAGGGAAGAGACCAGCCTGGCCATTTGTGCACCGCCAGTTTCTGGCACACGGCAGGGGTTCGGTATGTGGACTTTTGCGGAGGTATTAATAGTAATTAAGTGAAGTCCGCTCAGCCACACGAATCCGCAGGGAGAACACCCAAGGCCCAAGGCTCCACAGGCAAAAGGCTCTGGAGAAAGATGGTGCCAGCGGCTGTACGACCTGTGTGCTTACTGCCACGGTCCCAGGCCCTTAAAAACGGTTAAAATCCCAAGGTTTGTGTTACTTACACTGACCACCCAGCCACATAGAAGGATAGGGAAGAGGGAGGGGGGTGAGGTAACAGCCTGCCAATTAACACCAGTGCATCTCCCTACCAGGAAGAGTGACTCTAATGGAAATAGTTCCCCAAATCTGCGGGGTTAAAAAAAAGTCAAACAGTATAGAGGCTCTCCTCCTGGACCAGAGCTCTTCCATCCGGGATCTAGCATTTAGCGAGGACGTGGTAGCTGAATTCATGAGGTCCCATGGGACCCTATTTCTGGTGATTCCGTTTCCAAATTGAAGACGGTCTGTTAACAATTCCATTTGACTTGCATCCCTCTCCGACTTTTGAAAATCACTATGCAGCAAAATCATTCATTTAAACCTCCCCGTTTCTGCTCTCAAGAGCTTCGGAAACACACTCTAAATATTAGCAACTGATGTCATCCTAGCAGCATCTGCCTGTTTTCTGTGACAGAGCTTATAGATCAGATCCGTCACCAGAGTAAACGAGGAAGAGCTTTCTCCGCTTTTCCCACTCGGACGGAACTTCAAATTCACAGAAATGGATCCATCACAGCAATGACACACTCGTTACCCAGCTGCACACGTATGGCCTGTTCTAATGGCTACAGGCACCAGGGAATCTCCCAGGCAGAACAGGAGCCAGAACCTGGACAAACCACATTCACCGCCCATGCCCCTCTAGCCCATTCGAGTGGTTTCCCCAGCCAAGGGGTGGGCGGCACCTGGAACCCCATTCCCATTAATTCCTTACTAGCCTCCTTTTATGTAACGCGATCTCCCTATAAAAGGCGTGCACATTTTGCCTTTAGCCACCTGAGGCACTTGTAACGGGTCAGGGCCGAGTCCTGCGTTCTCCACGCTGCAATAGCCGAAGTGTAGCGAGCGTGGAGGGGGCGGCCAGGACCCGAACCTCACCTGCTTGCTGCTGAGATGCTACTTAGATGCCAGAGCGCATCTATTTCACGGAGTCTGGTGCCGGGTGATAAAAACTAGCGCTTTCTGACATTTGGATGTCCTTTAAGCCAGGGTCAGACACAAACACAGACACGTGACTTTTAGAACTTCCAAACAGCTGCTATTTCTTTTTTATGGTAACACCACACTTTGACACATCTTTTATATATGCTGGGTTTTTTTTTTAAGCATTTTTTAAATTTTTTATTTATTTATGATAGTCACACAGGGAGAGAGAGAGAGAGGCAGAGACACAGGCAGAGGGAGAAGCAGGCTCCATGCACTGGGAGCCTGACGTGGGATTTGATCCTGGGTCTCCAGGATCGCGCCCCGGGCCAAAGGCAGGCGCCAAACCGCTGTGCCACCCAGGGTTCCCTGGTTTGTTTTTTTTTAAAGAAGAAACAGTAAATGTGGTTCTGCCAGAAGAATGACTTGTTAAAATTCTAATTCAACCAGCAGAGATTTTTTTTTAAATGTACAACTAGTAGAAAAAGGGCATGGAAGGCGCGTCCTCAGGGCAGCCCACGTACATCATCTCCACACACACACACCCGTGCATCTCCGAAGCCCTCAGCGGCTACCACCCCCACATAAAACCAGCCAGCCAGCCCCAGCTGGTTTCCCCTGAACGTTCTCGGAGCAACTTCTGCGCGTTACGCTGCCTCCTGGTTGACAGGCTTGCTTCTCCTCCATTATAAACCCCTTCAAGGTAAGGGCTGGTTTTGCCTTCATCTTTGTAGTATTTTCTTTTATTTTTAAAAAATATTTATTTACTCATGAGAGATGGGGGGGGGGGCAGAGACAGAGGGAGAAGCAGACCCCGCCCTGAGCAGGGAGCCCGACGTGGGGCTGGATCCCAGGGCCCTGAGATCATGACCTGAGCCCAAGGCAGACGCTTAGCCGACTGGGCCCCCCAGGGGCCCTCATAGATATTTTCTAAATGAAGTGAGCGGATGGAAAATGGTAGTGCACCTACTTAAATGACATTATGAAACGAGATTGTCAGATGTGCTTTTTAAGGACACAACTTATTTTTACTAGCATTTGACATTCGTGTGCTAAGTTTTAAATTTCACACCATCCTAACAGGAGAAAAACCACCAGGACCATACAACTGACAATGAGTCAAGGTCTGAGTTCTGAGCACCTGAAGAAACAGCGTGATGAGGCCTTTTTCTTCTCAGTCACTAAATACTCATGCATCCTGAAGCAAAAGGGAAGCGCGGGGACTGTGCGAAGTACCCACGGATAGAAAGGAAGAGGATGGGAACACGAGGGGCGGCGCATGTTGAAGTTTACAAGAAAACCCAGGCAACAAGCAATAAAAGGCATCTACCTGCCCTACCTAAAACCCATGATGACTCTTTAGAGGGTGAAAACATTTTTTCCCCTACATCCACCAGGGGCACCGTGGTCGCGTCTGCTCCAAGGCTGGGGGGGCCCGGCGGAGCCCAAGAGCGTCACCTGTTAACTCAGGCCTCCAACAAAGCCCGCTCCTCACTGCAGGACAGGCCTGCGGGACTGCCAGGCCTGGCCACCTGTTTTCTGGAGGTGACTTAAGACAAACCCGGTAAAAGGTTTGTGCAGCTGGGAGCACACACCAGCACCCCTCCCGCAGTCTTGCTTTCCACCTTTTCGCGCTGCACCTTCAGCTTCTCCCGGTCACACACCCGGCACGCCTTGTTCTAGTCCCGCCTCACGACCCACTCGCCCTAAGCTGTACAGTGAGGGGAGGAACGGGGGGGAACGGGGGGGGGGTGCCTCAAAGGTTTGGCGCCTGCCTTCAGCCCAGGGCATGATCCTGGAGACCCGGGATCAAGCCCCACGTCCGGCTCCTGGTGCATGGAGCCTGCCTCTCTCTGTCTCTCATGAATAAATGAATGAAATCTTTAAGCTGTGAATGAATGAATAAACGAATAAATAAATAAATAAAATCCTTAAGCTGTTCCGCGGGCAGCACATTTCCTAATGAAATTCCAAAGCCCACCCTCTGCTTAAGTCGTCAGCTCATTCTCCCCCCCCCCCCCCATTCCTCAGGTATCTCCAGGGCTGCGGGCCTCTCTCCTTTGCAGAGCCCACCTGTGGCAGGGGTCGCGGCAGGCGTCACGGCAGGGGTCAGGGCAGGGGTCACGGTAGGGGTCGCGGCAGGGGTCACGGCAGGGTCAGGACAGGGGTCACGGCCCCCGCGAGGTCGACGCGGAACGCTGCCCTTCTCCAGGGCCCGCCCGCTGCTCCCCCCGCAGGCCTGGCTCCGGCATGAGCTCCCCCCCCCGGGGAGTCCCCTTCGCAGCCCCTCGAGGGGCCCTTGATGGCGCGCGGCCTCGGGGCGCCTCTCCGTGGCGGTGCGCACGGCCCGGGAGGGAGCAGCGCCCCGGGAGCCCCCCGGGGCCCAAGCGCCTCCGTCTGGCGTCGGCGGCTCGGCGCGCGGGGTCCCGGCGGGAGGAGAGGTCGCGCGGAGCCGCCGGGGAGCGGCCGTCGGGGCCCCGGGGTCCGCAGGTGCGCGCGGGGCAGCGGGAGGACAGAGCGCGACAGAGCGCGACAGAGCGCGACAGAGCGCGACAGAGCGTGCCCGGGCCGCACGGGAAGCGCGCGGAGGCGGCGGAGGGGGGCCGGAGGCGGCGGGGCGGCGGGCGGCGGGGGCGGCGGGGCGCGGGCGGCGGGAGCCCGGCCGGGACCTCTCGCCACCGCCCCCCCCCGCGGCGCGGCCTAGAGCGGCGGCCTCGCGCCCAGCGCCGCCCGGGACGCGCCCCCGCGGCCGCCACCGCCCCCTCCCCGCCCGGACGGACGGGCGCACGGACGCCGCCTCGGGCGCCACTTACCCGGCCCGCCCGGCCGACTCTCCCCATGGGCCGCGGCGCCGCGGAGACGGAAGCCCGCGACCGCAGCACCCGGGCCGGCGCCAACCCTTACGCCGAGGCCGCAGCGCGCGCGGCGGCGCGGGGTCAGGGGGCGTGCGGCCGAGAGAGGGGCGCGCCTGCGCCTGCGCCGAGGGCCGCCTGGGTGCCGCGCCCCCTGCTGGCGGGAGGACCGCGCCGCCGCCCCCCCCCCCGCCGCCGGCGTCCTCCCCTCCCGCCGACAGGGGTCGCCGTGGCGCGGCTCCTGAGCTCTCAGACTCGTGGGAGAGGCTGGCAGCGCCCCCACGCCGCAAGGAGGACAAACGGCCTGGGAGCCCGCGGAGTCCCCTTGGTGCAGAGCCCAAGTAGGCAGGTGCACGGGCAAGCTGCTGCAAAGCCAGTGCACCGACGTCGGTGGCTGAACGAGGGGTCACACAACACAACGCAAGTGGCATTAAAGCCTCACGATTTATTTATGTATTTATTTAATATTTTTTTGCCAGACCTGCTATTTATTGAAGGAAAGATAAATAAAGCACAGATCATTATGTGACATTAAAAGATGAAAACATTCCTTTCTGAATTTTTGCCCCAGTTGTAAACTACCAATCAAGTCAACTCTTTGAGGGCGAGGACGATGTCTTTATAGATAGGACCCAATAAATGTTTAGACTTGGTGTATTGTGAACGAGTTTGAAATCATGATGCCAAAAATGAAAAAAAAATAAATAAATAAAGTCATGATGCCAAAAATAAAAAATAATAAACTAAAATAAAATCATGATGCCGTTTAAAATGCCAAACATTAATGTTTTTAAAAAGTGCAGGGCAGTATATAGGAAAATAGCAACTTGAATAAGTGGACTTAGAATTCTGTAATTGCCTCAAACCATCTGTGGCAACAAGGAAATAATATGAAATGCTGAATTAGAGTCATTGGCCATCACTGAAAAGTAACCATTACTGAAAAATAATCATTTAGTATCTTCATTGCCATTTTTACTTATATAAAGAAATATATTTTGGAGCCTCATGATTTAAAAACGAATGAACACTCGTGGTTGGGCATAGTCTAGACCATAGATAGAATCTTAATGTATCCTAATAAGTAGAACCGTATGGATAATATTATATGGTCAATAAACTAGAAATTCAATAAAACTAAAAATTAATGACAAAACAGAAAATGAAACATCCCTACTCCTTGGAAATTTTAAAAGGCTTACATGACCTTTGGATCAAAAAGGAAAACAAAGACAAAGAAAATACCTGCAAGACTACAGAAGTGAAAATGACAAACCAGAACCCATGGGATTTAGGTACATTCCTAAGAGGAAAACTCATGATTTTAAATGATCATATTAATTAAAGAATTAGATAAACAGAATGAATTAAACACCCATGCAAGAAGTTAGAAATAGAACAAAACAGAATAACATAGAATAAAACAGAAAAACAGAATAAAAAAATAAATCCAGGAGCTGATTTTTTGAAAGTAAATTGGTAAGATATTAGCTAAACAAGGAAACAAGAAGAAAGTACAGATATACAAAGTATGGAATAAAAGCAACTAGCTCCAGACACAGAGGAAAGTAAAGTGTTTTTTTTTAAGATTTTATTTATTTATTCATGAGAGATACTCAGAGAGAGACAGAGACAGAGACAGGCAGAGGGAGAAGCAGGCTCCATGCAGGACTCGATCCCGGGACTCTGGGATCACACCCTGGGCTGAAGGCAGGAGCCAAACCACTGAGCCACCCAGGCATCCCTTAAGTTTCTATCAAGAGAAAACTTTGTTGAGTTTTATCAAATAAGTTGGGAAATCTGGATCAAGGAGTTATTGAAGGACAGTATAATTTCTTTAAAATGGGCTTTAGACAAGTTATAACATTTAAGGAGACCAACTATCACAGGAGAAATAGGGAAAAAGAGCAGAAACCTCCTGTCCAAAATGGCAGCAAGTCCACATGGGGAATTTTTACCAAATCCTTAGGGCCAGTGAATCCAGGGCATAGAAAATGAAGGAAGGTTTCGAATTTCTTGAATGAGCCAGCACAGTCGTGATACCTAATAAATATGCCCCAAAGAAAAGTACACGCCATTCTCATGATGGTCAAGGCAAAAACCCTAACTGAAGTATGGCATGGCACTAGGACAGAGATCGTCAGTCCTAGGGTGAGGCCATTCCCAGAGCCGTGGCCATCAGCCCTCGGTGAGAAGGGGGACATTCTGGCCATAAGACAAACGTGCTTAGGGCTGCAGCGCTCACTCAATTGCAGTTTGAAAGGGACCAGTCCTGTCTTGGGAGGACTCGTTTCCAGGGCTGGCTTGGAGAAGACCTAGGTTTGTGGGGGGTCAGCTCCACTTTAGAGGTGAGGATTTCCAAAGCTGGGGTGTCGTTCCTACTCCAGATGGCTGGTCCAAACGTACTGAGGCTTAGGTTCAAGGTCACACGTAGACCTGATTCGCAGGTTCACACCGAGCTGCGGAATCCGAAGGCTTCTCAAAAGGCATTGCTGCTTCTAGGAGCCTGTGGGCAACCAGGAAGCATTTCAGCCTAGCAGAAGGAGAAAGGGGGGGTAGGAAAAGTGCACTAGACATATTGGAGACTTTGCTAGAGGCAGGTAACAACTAGGAAGAGATGGTCAGGGCACGAACCAAGGATGTGTACAACCCCAGGGAGCACGCCCTTCCCAGAGGCGGGAAGATGCGCAGTGACTGGGAAGCGGTGAGACTGGATTCTCAGTGGAAGGAACTTTGGTTCAGACACTCAGGCAACGGCTCGCCCCAGCAGGAGCGTAAGGTCTCATTGGTCACGATTCTAGAGGCTGGAGGTCTACAATCAAAGTGCATGTTTGGTTCTTGGTGAAAGGGCCCACTTCCTGGGGTGTAGACGGCTGCCATCTTGCTCCCTGATGGAGAGAGGGAGCTCTGGTCTCTTTCTCTTCACGTAAGCATCCAGATCCCATCTTGGAGGCCCCGTCCTCGTGATGTAACCTCAACCTCACTGCCTCTGAAAGACCCCACCTCCTCCTACCGTCACACTGGGAGTTAGGGCGTCAACACAGGAATTTGGGGACACACAAACATGTAGCCTATGAGTGAGAAAAGAATCACACTGGTCAGGGGCTCTGAAAAACTTTGGACGCCGCCTTTTACAGGAGCCTGAGGGAGAAGTAGGAAGCATGGGCTGGCTCGGCTGCTGCCTCGGGGCCAGGTGCGGGGGCCGAAGCCCCAGGGAGGTTTCCAGCAGGGACACAGGGCCAAGAGTAGCAGGGTAGTGAGAGAGGACAAGATTTTAACCTCTTCTCTCTTAGGAACCACGGGTGGGTGGGGAGGGGCAGCCATACTAGAGTCTGACAAAGTTTCCACCTGAATCACTGTGCGAAATGCTGCATTTTGCCCTTAAAAGGAAAATATGCTAATGATCTACTTTTTTTTTTTTTTTGGTCAAAGTTTCTAGAGTAGTGTCCACTGGTCTTTTGTTACCGCACACATAAACCGGGCAGGGGAGGGGAGGGACTGGCTTTTATTTGGGTAACACTTTTTTTTCTTTTAAGATTTTATTTATTTGTTCACTAGAGACACAGAGGGAGAGGCAGGCTCTCCGTGGGGAGCCCAAAGTGGGACTCGATCCCGGGACTCCAGGATCACGCCCTGAGCTGAAGGCAGATGCTCAATCACTGAGCCCCCCAGGAGTCCTGAGAAAACCAAATGTTATTAAGAAAATCATAAAGGGGGTGCCTGGCCGGCTCAGTCAGTAGGCATGTGACTCTTAATCTCAGGGTCATGAGTTTGAGCCCCACGTTGGGTGTAGAGATTACTTTTAATGACTAAATAAGTAAATAAGGAATAGAAAATACATTTACAGCACTGTATTTATCGAAGAAAAAGAACCCACATGTACGTGGACCCCCGCAGTTCAAATCCGTTCGAGATCAGGCGTATTAGCTCTTTTCCAGGGGACCCTTCATGAGGTGAAATGACTTTCTCATGAGCACAGTTAGCAGGTGGCACAGCCAGGAGGGGAGCACACACACCCGACTGCAAAGCGGGTGCTCCGTCTCAGCGGCACCAAGGGGAGAGGGAGGCTCAGCCAAGCTTTCAGGCCCACTCACGATGTGGTTCCTGGAAAACGGGAGGGGAAGTCATTGATGAGACAGGATATGTTCATTGAACACTGAAGAAAGAACATGGCCTTATACCGAGTGCCTCTGATAGTGTCCGGCTGTCCCACAAGCTGAGTGGGGAAGGGTCCTGAGAACAAAGACAGAGCCTGGGCTGGGTCTCTCCACCCCCAATCAAAGCAGGAGTGGGTGTGCAAAAGCCCGGGGCCTGCAGTGTAGACCCTCAGGACCCTCGGAGGGGAATCTGCTGTCTTCCAAGCCTCTATGTGCCACTCTGGTTTGTGGGCTGCACGCTACACCCGCCTTTCTGGTTGGATCCTGCACATTGCCCAATCACTGCAACACGCATTGACAAGACAGCATTCTGGTTTAAAGGCCACAGACATAATCCCCTCCCCTGGCTGAGAGTTTTCTAGTTTAATTCCAGGAGGAAATCTTTTTTTCCCTCATTGTCAAGTGTATTAGAAACTTCGTTCTTCCTCCTGCTTCCTGTCAAAGGAAGCCAGTGTTACCTTTATTTCACAAACTGAGAATCAGAGGCTTCATGGGATGGAGGAGTACAGCTGGGGCCATGCAGCCAGCAGGCAGGATATATGCAGGGTCACAGCAGTTCTTTCTTTCTTTCTCTTTCTTTCTTTCTTTCTTTCTTTCTTTCTTTCTTTTCATCTTCCTTTGCCATTTAAAATCTTTAATCAAATTTCATCAAAGATTACCAGCCATATTACATGCCACGAATTAGCTTTCTATAAACAACTTTGCTTTCTGTGTACAAATCAATGTGACAATGAAATAAAAGATAAAACTATGAGAGACTCCTAACTCTGGGACAAGAACAAGGGGTAGTGAGAGGAGAGGTGGGTGGGGAGACGGGGGGACTGGGCGACGGGCACTGAGGGGGCACTTGACGGGATGAGTACTGGGGGTTATATTATATGTTGGTAAATCAAACTCCAATAAAAAATATATTTAAGAAAGAAAAAATAAAAAGAATGATAGACGTGCACACACACACACACACACACACACACACACACACAAAAGAACCTACCATTTCAGTTACACTCTCTGCCTTTAATCTACTTCTGCTTTTTCTCTCTGTTTTGTTGTTGGTGGTGGTGGTTTATTTTGTTTCATCCTTACAACTACCTTTAATCTAAACATCTTTTGTGGGAGGATGTTTTTCCAGAGCAAGTGAAGAGAAAATATTCAAACTAGAACATTCAACTCCCCATGGAAAGTCAT